GCGGCGGCGCCCAGATCCCGCCCCTCCCGCGCCAGCCTGCATCCCACCTGGCGCCCCTTCCCTTTCCTGCCCTCTTGCGTCTCCTGGGAAGGCCCTCATCTGCCTCCCAGCTCGACCACCGGACACCTCCGGGCGCTGAGAACCCCGGGCCCCTCCCCCGCACCTGCCTCCCGGGCTCTGGGCACATGGGAAAACTGAGGCACAGAAAGGGGTGCAGCGGCCCTTGTTCAGGCCACCTCTCATTGGCAGCGCAACGCGGCCTCCTCCCCACCCGGCTGCTCTGGAAGGTCAGCAGCATCTCGACTTGCTCACTCCACAAACATGCGCACACGGACCCTGTGCCAGGCAGTCCCAACTCGCTGCGGGGTGCAGCGCCCACTGGGGGTGCGTAGGTCATTCGCAAGGCGAGGGGTCTTTGGGGTGGGGGCTCTGCGCTGACATGGATTCAGACTATGGAACCCCCTCCTGCAGTCTCCTCCCCAGTCTCCTCACCAAGGGCTTTACCTTGACTTTCTTGATGGCCCCTGCAAGCTGCACCCCCCAAGCTAAAAGCCCCTGCACGCAGCACCCCCCCAAACTAAAGTGCCCAGAGGTAGTCCTGTGATTCTCAAAGGCCACCGTTCACACCACTCACAGATCAGCACACTCAACAACCTTTTCTGTGTTCCTCCCTCACCACCCCACTCCATTCAGCACCATGCACATTTTGCATTCACAAAATTCTATCCCCACCCCAATAATCACTATAGCTAGGTTTCTTTCACATTGACTGAGTGCCAGGCACTTTACAAACCTGACCTCATTCATGACAACCCTGCAAGCTAAAACACATATAAGCATTCCCATCTCCATTTAACTGACAAGGGACTGAGGCTCAGGGAAGTCCTAGCACTTAGCCAAAGCCACACAGGTCTTGGGACTCCACGTGTCCCTCAGCTAGAACTTCCAGCCAGCATTCACAGGTACTGCCAATCCTGGTTCAGAGCTGTGACTACTAAGTGATTATTAACGCTTATTGCATCCTTGGTATGCAGCAGGCGTTGCACTACATCACATGAATAAACGCAGGGAATCTTCCCAAGCTCAGAGATTGAAATACAGAGAGGTTACTTGCACAAGGTCACCTAGCTGATCCATTGAAGAAGCCCGGCTTCTAACCCAGGCACTAGGACAAGGATTGGCCACTGTGCCATCAGGCTGATTTGGTCAGTGAATTCCCTGTCTTTTTCTTTGTTTCTCTCTTTGTTTCTCTTTAGGTTTTTGCCAAAGAGTATGTGTGCTCAGGGGAGACAGATAGAGGGAAAGTGAGAACTCACCCTCCAGGCGGGATGGCCATGCCACAATCCCTTTGCCTACATTATCGTCTCGGGATTTGGGACATGCATGCACTCATGCCTGGCAGGCCTGGGACTCAAACTGTGGTCGGCCATGTGGGAATCTAGCGCCTTAACTACCACACTGCTTGCTGGCTCTCTAACCATATATTTTTTATTTTTTACATTAAACAATTTTTGGGGTTTTTTAAAGAATTGTTTAAGGAGATCAGCAGACAGTGTAATGATTACATTGCTGGACTCCCACAATCAACGATGACTTGAGCCCTAGACCCAGCAGCTTAAAACTCACACTGAGCGCAAGTGCGTGCATGCCCAAAATCTGACAGGAAAATGTAGGAGAAAGGATTGCAGCTTTGCCATCCCCGCTAGGGGACGATGTCTCATTTTCTGTCTCTCTGTTTCGCCAGAGAGCATGTACACTCTATAGCAAAAAATCTCTTTAAAAATTTTATTTATTTAATTCCATGCACCACCATTATCTTTTTTTCTTTTTTGTAATTTGACCAGAAAGGCAGCAGTTGGGGAGTGAGAAAGCAAGCTGCCAGATCCGGGACTTAAACCGTAGTCAGCCATGTGGGAGCCCAGTTCCCCAATCACCCACTACCTGCCAGTCCCCCTAACCATATTTCTTTAAAGCCTGAGTCTAAAGTAAATTTAGAGGGCCAGGCCCGTGAGTTCATTTAGCTTAAGTTCAAATCATTCTCAACAGCACGTCCGTCATGTTCACTTTCTACTTGTCCTCCCAAGTTCCTTGAGTTTGGGGCCCCCTTGGTTGAAAGTTGAAGGTCATGTCTTGTAAATCTTTGATGCAACAGGCATTGCTTCCTTCCAGGCTGCCAGAAGCAAAAGTTACTCATGCAGATGCAAGCACAGGGGCCATGCTCGGAGATGGTACACAGTATGTCTCTACTTCTTCCAGCCAGAGGACCCTGGACACCCACAGACGCTTTCCCTGCAGATGGGGATGCTGAGTGGGAGGGGGGTAACTTGATTCCCTGATCCCCAGGAGAATCCAAGGGGCTGGCACATTCCGTAGCAAAAATAACCAATGGGCAGCAGGAGTGAGTGACGGGACAGCTGGCTGAGGAGGGGCCGGCAGGATTCTGTGTTCCTGCCCTGGGCTTGTGCTGTTCACCCCTAAAGCACTGGCCTGGGACATGCTCTCAGGGTGGGCCCTCTGGCTGGCCCCAGAATGCCCCATTTTCTCTCCAAGGCTGGGCAGCTGGGCCCACCTGCCACTCCCCCCCATCTAAACTTCCCCTTTCTACATTGCCAGCATTTCC